ATAGCAAAGACGTCCACTACCCGAACTGTGTATTCATCAACGAAGTCGCCCAGCATGAGGCCCATGACCTCCATTGGGACACCCGCGCGTCCATGTCGTAGCATCTTCAGCAGAGCCAAGGAGGAGATGTGGACAGTTTCGGAGTTATCAATCAGGTTTGGGGTATCCTAAACAACGGCTCTCATTAGTCAATGTAGATAAACATGGTGAAGCTAGGCTAGGGTGTTGCCATTAATTCCCCCCAACAAGGAAATTAGAGGTCTTATCCAACTTACACCACCAGGAGCAGCGCCTCCCATCCCCATGCCTTGAGCGGCCTGGAGCATCCGGTTAAGGCGATCCATAGTGAAGAGATATCCGAAAAGAGTTGATGAAACGAGAGTAGAGTGGGCGAAGCTATCACTATTTGGAAGCTCTGGAGCAAATCGATTTGTCTCTAGTAGCTTGGTATCGCCGAAACAGTGTTCAAAGAAAGATACAAGATAGCAAAAAACCCCAACAGATGTGATATTAGGGAGAAGATAACAAGGTTGTCGAAGACGTGTTAAGTGATGATGAGCAAAGCCGTGGGAGCTTTGCCTGACGAAGGCGGTGTGTGGTTCGGTCGGCTTCCGCTCCTTCGCGGGCGATTCTCTCTCCTCAATCTATTCTTCAATATAGCCTGAACAATGACATTGGCTTACTATTGTGATTAAGTTCTACTACCTAATCTTCGCATTGCGGGATCTGGTGACAATAGGTGCCATCGCTGCCTATTTACTCTCCTGGGAGTATATCTGCATTGCGCCTGCAACTACGCTACTTCATCATTCCCCGGATCTCACTTACACTTCTTGAACTTCACCTTTTTTTTCCACTCTCAACCTCGTGACCCTCAGTCGCTCTCTGCAATATGGCTTTGGAACCTATCTCTGATAGGCTCCTCGGGTCTAAAAATAAGAAAGTCGCGTACTTCTACGACTCCGATGTGGGCAACTATGCCTATGTCTCCGGCCACCCCATGAAGCCTCATCGCATACGCATGACACACAGCTTGGTGATGAACTATGGCCTCTATAAGAAAATGGAGATCTACGTGAGCGCTCTTTCACCTTTTTTTCTCTCCTGTTTGACCCTTGCACTAACAAATCAGCGTGCGAAACCTGCCTCAAAGTACGAGATGACCCAGTTCCATACCGACGAATATATCGACTTCCTGTCCAAAGTCACACCCGACAACATGGACCACTTCTCGAAGGAGCAGAGCCGGTACAATGTTGGAGACGATTGCCCCGTGTTTGACGGTCTCTTTGAGTTCTGCGGCATCAGCGCTGGAGGCAGCATGGAAGGCGCTGCACGACTGAACCGCAACAAATGTGATGTTGCCGTCAACTGGGCTGGTGGTCTTCATCACGCCAAGAAGAGCGAAGCAAGTGGCTTCTGCTATGTCAATGGTAAGGCGCTTCGGTCCTCAAATGTCTGTCTCGGAATCTAACCTCCATGAAGATATCGTCCTCGGAATTCTGGAGCTTCTGCGCTTCAAACAACGCGTTCTTTACGTCGATATCGATGTTCACCACGGTGACGGTGTCGAAGAGGCTTTCTATACGACTGATCGCGTCATGACCTGTTCTTTCCATAAGTACGGCGAGTACTTCCCCGGTACCGGTGAGCTTCGCGACATCGGTGTTGGGCAGGGTAAAAACTACGCAGTCAACTTTCCTCTCCGGGATGGTATCACTGATGTCACATACAAGAGCATCTTTGAGCCCGTTATTAAGAGCGTAATGGAGTGGTACCGCCCGGAAGCTGTGGTCCTTCAGTGCGGTGGTGATAGTCTGTCTGGTGATCGCTTGGGCTGTTTCAACCTGAGTATGCGAGGACACGCCAACTGTGTTAACTTCGTCAAGAGCTTTGATCTGCCAACTTTGGTACTTGGCGGTGGTGGTTACACCATGCGCAATGTTGCACGTACATGGGCTTACGAGACTGGTATCCTTGTTGGAGAGCCGCTGGGATCGGAGCTGCCGTACAATGACTACTATGAGGTAAGATTCTTGTTTCTTCCAGACTAACTCATACTAACTGCATTAGTACTTCGCTCCTGATTACCAGCTTGATGTCCGCCCCTCCAACATGGATAACGCCAACACCAGAGAATACCTGGACAAGATTCGCAACCAGGTTGTCGAAAACCTCAAGCGCACGGCATTTGCCCCTTCGGTCCAAATGACGGATGTGCCACGAAACCCCATCTTGGATGGCATGGACGACGAGGCTGATGACGTTATGGATGACCTCGATGAGGATGAGAACAAAGACAAACGGTTCACACAACGACGATTCGACCAACGCACCGAAAAGGCTGGCGAGCTCAGTGATAGCGAGGATGAAGACGAGAACGCCGCCAACGGTGTTCGTCGCCAACCAGGCGCCATGCGCCGTCGCAATCAAGTCAACTACCGAAACCTCGAGCCGGACTCTGGGCTGGATAGTGGCATGGCAACCCCGCAAGATGGCTCATCTGCGGCTGATGGAGAAATGGATTTTGCCCTTGACGCTAATATGGGCGATGTCCCCCGCACTGAACCCGAAACACCTTTTGCCGCTCCAGAACCCTCGCACGCTGATGAAACCCCCATGACGGATGCCGATAACGTGGCTATGGGAAGCGAGGAACAGGAAGCCTCTACTGCCTCTCAACATCAGTCTCCTCCTCATGATGAAGACACTACCATGGAGGATGCTGCTGTCGCAGAGCCTACTACATCGGAACAGGCTCCGGCTCAAGCGTCAATTATCGAGGAGAAACCACAGGTCAAGGGCTCCACCGCCTCCCCTGTGCGGGCCCAGTCCCCTCCGAAAGAGGCTGCCGATTCTACCCTCGAGAAGGGTGCCGAAGCTTCTGCTCCTACTGCGGACGCCGAGGCAACGGCGACCAAGGAAGAGAATCTGGAACACATGACAGCACCCAAGAAAGAGGAGTAATCGGCTGTGATGCAAAGACGACAATATCGGATCTGGCGCAACGGACAATGGCAGAAAGGTGTTATCGGTTTAACAGCGTGCTCACATCTTGCTTGACACCAGGAGGGCATTACTCGTGGCGGAATGGCAGACTCAAATTGAGGTTTGACCTTGAAATGTTTCGGGGGATGGCGGGTTGCTTTTATGGCTTTCAATGAATCATTTCATATTTTATCTTCATCCCTGTGCTACCTGCTTTTCCTTTCGCATAGCTTTTTTTTTACGGTCGCAAATGTATTATTCAGTGAAATGCAGTCTTCCAAAACGTTACAACATTCGAACCCTAGAAGTATACGAGTGATGCCTCAGGCATAATGGTTTAGCACTATGCCAAATTGGGTTAGCATTAGGGCAAAGTTGATGGGTCTGGGCAACCAATCACCTGCCAACGCCAAGATTTTACGCACTTTGCCCACTAAGCGAGAAAGCACACCTCCAGTTTGGATCCTCGACGTTCGACCTCTTGTCGCCAACCTTTTTCACCCAACTTCCCCCGTGATCATCAGCCATCATGTCTAAGAGAGGGTGAGTCTCCCAGCGATTCCCTCCGTGGCCCCATTCGATTCCGAACCGATACAGAATTATTTTGCAAGCATGGATAAGCAACACAGCACCTTCGTGTCGAGAAGATAGAATGGGGCTCGGATTGAGAAAAGAACGAATCGACAAGAAGGAGTTTACTAACGGTTAAACAGTCGTGGCGGTGCCGCCGGCAACAAGCTCAAGATGACTCTCGGTCTGCCTGTGTACGTCTACAAATTCCTTATCGTCTAGTCTGTTTCGAATGCGCCTTTCTTGCCCGCCGGATCCCACAAGTCATTTCCAGTCGATCAAACGCCCTCAGAAAAACATACACCATACGACAAAACGAAAAGACCGGCGGGAAGAAAGGAAAAGAAAATTGGATCTCCACTTTCAGCATTCGAAACACGACGTCTTCAAGATCTAGAACAATTCACTAACGGGTCCCTTTTTCGTCAAACAGTGGCGCCGTGATGAACTGCTGCGACAACTCCGGTGCTCGCAACCTGTACATCATCTCCGTCAAGGGTATCGGTGCCCGCCTGAACCGTCTCCCCGCTGCCGGTGTCGGAGACATGGTCATGGCCACCGTCAAGAAGGGAAAGCCCGAGCTCCGCAAGAAGGTTATGCCCGCTGTCGTTGTCCGCCAGAGCAAGCCCTGGCGCCGCCCCGACGGTATCTTCCTGTACTTCGAGGACAACGCAGGAGTTATCGTCAACGCCAAGGGTGAGATGAAGGGTTCCGCCATCACCGGTCCCGTCGGAAAGGAAGCTGCTGAGCTCTGGCCCGTACGTTATACACTCCACATGGAAATAGATTCGTTTCCATGTGCCCCTCTCTGATTCAAAAACTAACATTTCTGTTCCAGCGTATTGCCTCCAACTCCGGTGTCGTCATGTAAAGAGAGAAAACCCGAATTTTAAAGAAAAAGAACGATACCAAACCTCAAATCTGCTTGGGACCTGGAATGCGGTGCATATGAGACCATAGGATTAAAATGGGAGCTGGACAGGTGGTGTCCATTTGACGAAATCCAACTGTTTATTTTAAAGCCGGTTTTATCCTCCATCTTCGTGTTTCTCCCTCCCTCTACTGGCGACTCTCGGAAGTATTACTTTAAAATCACATCCTTTTGCACTGCCTTGCCCGTTACCTCGAGGGCTGGCCTAAAGGTTTTAGGCTGTATGGGAGGGGACTTGGTCCTGGTTATTTGTTCTTTGGCCGATATATGAACTCTGATATGACCACCAATGGCTCTACCTACGTAGACCCTAAGTAGACCCTGCGTAAACGTATCTAACCTCTGCACAAATGTACGAGGCAGAACTTTCCCAAGGTCACGTCATAAAATTTCATATCTGCTTGACGGTCCGTTATGAAAATATATATAATAGATATTGCAATATGTCTCCAAATGCAAACTACTTAGTTTATCCAGCCATGAATACAATAAAAACAAATCTACAACCCATTTATTTCTTCTGTCCATCCTGGGTCTTCTGTTCTGGCTGGACTTTTCGAACAGCCGCCTTCGCCTGAGCACCGCCAGATAGGAACCAAAGCAGAGCCACACCCAGCGTCACTAGCACGAGGATATGAACCACCCACCAGATATGCTGCACGCCAGCTGGACACATAGTGATCTCATATCTCCACTCACCTGCGGCCTCATCGAACCAAGCCGAAAGGAGACCGGCATTACCACCAAACTCTCCCATCATCGAGCGGAGGGTCACTTCCCGGATAGAAGGGTCGTCGATGTGCTGGCTCGCATTGAAGCGCTTCGCAGCCCACTTCCAAGGCTGAGATAAACCATCGTCGCCGGCTGTTTCAGTGCGGTTGACGAAATGCACAGTATCACAGCCCGCGTGGTCATGCCCCGTAAGAATGAGCCCGTTCCGACCCTGGCCACCAACAAGCGCATTCTCGTCGCCGCTCAGTCCAAAGATGCCTTGCAGGATCCCACTAGCGCTGAGTGTATCGCTGAGATGGTTCTGCTCCTTGAGACCACCGTCAAGCCACCGGGGCACGCCGTCGGGACCATCCTGGTCATCAGAATTGCGGAATGAGAAATACGGCCCGTCCGTGCATATGCCATCTTCCTTGTGCAGGGGTAGATGCGTCAGAAGCAAAGTAAAAGCCGACCGGTCCTCGACCGGCGAGAGTCGATCGGCGATCAGATCGTTCAGATAAGAATACGTATGGCTCTGGACCTCCGCAGAAAGAGCGGGGGTATCGAACATGAGGGAATTGAGGTTGATTAGGTGCAGAGTAGGGGTAACAACCTGGTCTCCAGCAGACGAGGACGAGATGGGCGGGTGTTCGAACCGCACATCCCAATTTGCGCGGCCAAACGCACGGTCAAAACGCTCCATCCGCGCCTCGCTGATGTCCCCCGCATATCCAATATCATGGTTTCCCGCGACATTGATCACGCGTCTGGCCCAGGCTCGATCCGTGCCCAGGGGTTCCAATGGCGGCGCATTGCTGCCTTCGCCCTGGCTCCAACCCGCCGCGCCGGTTCTGGTGATGTTGTCGTCAACTCGCTCTCCGCCGCGGAACACGCGGTTCCAGTACCGGTGTCCGCGCCGGGCGAATTCGTCGTCGGAGATCCATTGGCTCCCCACCAAGTCACCTAGGACCGTTGTGTGCGTCGGCCGGGTCCACCAAAAGAGCGTGCGGTAGATGTGCGCGAGGTAGTAGTCGTTACCGAAAAGGTCGAGGCGTTTCAGACTTGACTTGAAGGCGCGTGGGATGTCTTCGGTTGCGAGGGTTTGGAGACCGGTTGTGATGTTTGAGAGGACATTCTCGTTCAGCAGAGGTGAAGTGGAGGCGTTGCCAATTGCTTCCTGGATGGCACGCCAATGGGTTTGCATGCGGGGATATAATTCATATTCGGGGAAAGGGAGCGAGGAGTCGCCTTCCAATTGGGGGTCTGCAAGGACTAGGAGTCTAAAGATGGCGGGTTGACCGTTTGAGTCTGAGGTTGATACACCGAGGTGTTGGAAAAGCGTGTTGATCACTGAATTATGGTATATCTGCCTCTCGCTTGACTGCGAGACAGATTGTGGTAGAGGAAAGGCGCATCCGTCGAAGACTGGGTAGAGATAGAGGTATACAGTGGCGGTCACTGTGAGTGGAAGAAGGAGCGCAAATGTGCGGGAGAGCAGCCAGCGGAGGGACATGAGGGATCTAAAATGACAGAAGAAGGATAAATGTTATAAAGACCTATACAGCATGTTGAAAAGGATCGTCTTGAGTGGATAGGAGAAGAAACAAAAGTGCGGACATGGCTAATCGATAAAGATAGCGCACGTATATATGGTAACGCCGGCTATAGGATTGAACTACCCAGGATAAAAGACAAATTAGAGTCGAGTCATGATAAGAAATCTTGCCAAGTATGATGATCATAATAGCAGGAAATATTTCAAGTACATATTTAAGCTCCAAGGTTGTAGACAATATATATATATATATGTTGGTTGGATGGTGGGCATATACTGCCCGTGATAAAAATTGGCGGTATATGGGGCGGTGAGAGCAGTGGTGATTGAATAGAAGCAAACAACTATGGCTATGTAAATTAGTATAGGGAAGAATGTTTGGATCCAGTCAACTTCGTGTCCATAAGCAAGTTAATCACATACTCCTACATAAAGCCCCCGGCGGCCAACGTACCTGCAATGACAAAATTGGCCCGAGTCAACAAAGGGAAGAAGTCTGAGCGAGGGGTATATCACATCAAACGCCAGCAAAAAGAATGAAAACAAAAATGGCCAAAAGATATCCTTCGCATAATTCCAAGCAAGGTCACACACAAATAAATAGGGGCCCAATGAATATTCACTTAGATTCCGTCTTGGCCAGAGGATCCGGAAGCAAGAACGATTGGCCATTGTCCAAGTCTCCAAGGGGGTTAGATAGAGGTCGTTCGAGACCTTCATCTGTGTTGTTAATGTCTAGACTGCCGTTCGTGTCCTCGGACGAGTTGGCATCAGACTGGCTGAGGTTCAAGCCCTGGATTTGGAGACCCGCCTCTTCCTCTTCCTCATCAATGGTCTGCTCGGTCTTGGTGCTGCCCGAAGCAGGCATCAGCTCCGGCGGCCGCTGGTTCATCAGCCGGGCTTGTTTCAGACTGATGGTCTTTTGCTTGTTGGTAGATTCCACTGCCTGTCCGAGATCACGTTCGATGGTCGCTTTCATCAACGCTGCCATCCATAGACGACCCTGCTGGACATTGTCCACCTGGAAGTAGTGGGTGGCCGGTTTTGTGAACTGCACGGTGCGTGAGTTGCCTGTCTTTGGGGGTACGAGCTTGAAGAAGAATGGCCCGCTGCTATCCTTGGTGGTCAGAGATTGAATGACCGAGGGAGTGGTGAGCTTCGTGCCGCTAGAGCTCTCTACGGTGTTGTTAGCATTGGCTGGCAACGCGGTGGAGCCGGTGATGGTTGCGTGTAAAGCGATGATCGGATCTTGATCCGCTCGTAGGACACGGTGAGCGGTAATGTCGATCAAGCCTCTTTCCTCGGTGTCGTCCTCGGAATAGTAATAGGACAGACGACGACCGCGCAAAACAAATAGACGGGGCTTCCAGGTGGTCATCAAGTTGGAAGATCTCTTCTTCATCCATCCACTATAATCACAGCCATCCATCTGCTCCTGTGGTGACTTCTTTTCAAGTCCTCGAGTATAGGCACTAGTCTCCTTCTTGGACTTGACGGTCCGAGGACGGACTACGAATCCGTGTCCGTCAGTGGCGGCCTTACCAGACCCATCTGTACTATGCCGTTCCGAGCTCTTGGACGTCGCCGATGGAGTTGTGGATCCGGTGCGAGCAGAGGTGGGATCAGACTCTCGCGGCGAGTCAGGCGGCACAGAGGTGTCAATCTTCTTTCCAGCAACGTCGGATATGGCACGAAGGCCCATGGCTCGGCGGAACTTGGGCCCAGCATTCTTCAACGGCTGGAACTGCAAGGGCGAGGCGCGAGAAGAGGAGCTTTCCGAGTCACCTTTGCCGCCGGCACGAGAGAAGTTCGCGAAGAATCCACCACCGTTACTGGGTTTGATCTCGGTGGTGGACGATTGAGAGTTCCCACTCCTATCCGTTGAGATGCGCGTGCTCAAGCTCCGCAGCCGACTCTTCGGTGGCGTGCCGTGATAGGCCTGCGCTGCGGGGGAGACACGCTTTGCTGCATCACGGATCGAGTCCATACTGCCAATGCGAGAGTGGCGCTTCGCCGGGGATATCACTTTATATGAATCTTCCGCATAGCTTGACTTTCGCGAGTGATTGTTCAAGCCGACACCGGCGGACTCCCGTTTCTGAAGAACCCGGCGGCTTCGCCGCGAGTCAACCTCGGTTCCCGAGAAATAACCCCGATCTAGATCCTCAATCTGATCCGGGGTGCTAATATAAGAGCTGGCGTAAGAATCTGACTCAGCGGTTAGTGGTCCGCTCTGGAAGCCACCCGGACTAGTGCCCGCCGAGGTTCCTGGGCGAACGGGCATGGATTGGGGGCCGGAATTCAGAGTCCAAGACCGGTCGAATGAGGGTTTCTTCTGATGGTGACCAGCGAAAACCGAATCAGACATGCCGCGTTGGGTGGCGTCAATGGAAGAGTGACGACGTGCCTGGTTGAGATCACGGAGGGATGCCGCAGAAATCCTCCTCGGTGAATCATGGCTGTACGGAGGGGTATGCGGTGTCATGGGCGAGCTGTTGTTGCTGGCCAGTCGAGGGTGTTGCACCGGCGCAGAGGCTCGTGGATAACCAGCCCCGGTCTTTTCTGACAAGGTCGGAATCCGAGGAAGAAGTGGCCCGGTGTGTCCAGCGCGAGAGAATGCACGCTCATCAGAAGGTCCTGAGAAGCTGGAGGAGATGGAGTCTCTCGGGGCTTGCTGCTGACTGAAGCCCTTGGTCTCTTCTTGAAATGCCTTGATCTTGTGCCAGGTCTTGAGCCGTTTGCCCATGACTCCAAAATCAAATTCCTTCATAAAGATAAAATCTTGATCCATATCAAGAAGCACATCACCGGTGATCTCTTGTTCTTCAAAGATGTCACAGTGTTTGGGATCTATGCCGAGCCCGCGCAAGCATCTTGAAGTCTGTGTTTGACTCCATTTCCGCACCTCTTGCTCGGTTGGATGATTCTGCTCCTCGTCGTCGGTTTCATGTCCATTGATATAAGAAGCCCTATGGCCAATATGGCTGCTGTACTCGCTGCCGGAATCATTGATCGTCCTAGGTTCTTGGGTCGACACGCTGTGACGTGGGGTGTTCATATCCGTGATGTGCTCGTCAATGACACTCAACGTCTCATTCATGACCGGGCTTTCTTCGCCATTCATATGATCGCCCATGGAACCACGGAAGGCTTGCTGAATATCGGCCGCGAGGCTTGGGCGAGGCAGCGGAGACGAAGCCGATCGATGCTGTGTGGGAGAACTAATTTGTGGTGACTGCATGTCCGAGCTAACGTGGCGCGATGCTTGAGGGGTGCTCTGCCCACTCCCGACTGATACGAACGATGAATCTGCGGGTGCGGAGGGTTCCAATTGTATTGGCGACTCTACCAGTACTGGCGACTCAGCGAGTGTCTTTCTTGGGGAACCGTTGGTAAAGTCTGTTGCGCACAAATATTAGCTTAATGGAAATAGACGGGGGTTTGTTGAGGATCCTGGGGGGGGGGCGCGCATACTCGCAGGGAAGAGACCAGTTTGTCCCGTCCTAAGGTTCTTGCCGTAATACCAGGCATCTCCAAATCCTTCATCCAACTCGATCAATTCAATCTTGTCGCGGGGTAACATGATCAGTTCATCTTCTCCGCGCCCGCCAAATCCGTCTAGTTTGGAGTATTAGCAAGTCGGGCGCATCCTGAGAAGCGGGAGTCACAGAAATCGAGGTGTCGCACACGACGTCACTTACGAAGAACATCTAGAATGTCGCCGGGACGAACACCCTGTGGTGGGCCCATGGTAACCATCTCTCAATATTCCGTGTTTCTAGTCAAGAGAAAACGCAAGACATGGCACCCTTTGGGGAGGAGTGCAAATTGCAGATTGCAATCGCGTATCCCTCTGGGACAGGAGTAATGTTGATTTCGCAGAAGGTAGAAAGGGGAGAGAATGTGAGAAATCTAAAGGGAGATCCGAGAGATTAGAGAGAGGATTAGGTTAAACAACTCGCGGGGCTCGGGAGCACGAACCTCGAAGGATCCCGACCTCGGGACGTAGCTTGATATTCTTTTTTTTTTTTTTTGCTCTTTTTCTTTTCTGGAAGATTATATCTGTGCAAATATGATATATATCATACCAGATTGAAGCAAAGAATGTTCAAGAAATCTTGAGAAGTGGAATTTGGGCAGATACACAAACACACACACACATCCAAAAGAATATAGTCAATATAACGAAGTACCCAAAAATATACGCAAAATTGCAAAGAAGAAAAGACAAAAAAAAGTGACGTGTGCAGATTGTAAGAAGTCTGGACCTCTTAAGGTTGACACTTTCCGTGGTTGAGAGAGATGAGCTGAGGGGTGGCACAACTTTCAAGGGTATTACATCCATATAATAATATTATGATAATTACTAGAATTACTAGAATTACAATAATAATTACTAGCTTGAATGGGAATCAGACATAATTTGAATTCAGTATTCCGTTTTCGTACATTGTACATGGGTAGGAAAAGTACACTGCTTATATGCAGATGAACCCGGTCATTCTTGCCCAAGTCTATGTACCCGATCTACATATGTATATAGGTTGGATTGATTTATTTATTTTTAAATTGTACTAACCAAGGGATCTATGATAGGATTAATCTAAACTTCAATGTTATGGTAATTAACGTAAACCATGTAGTACCTGCGTCTATTCTGCTTTCACTTTGCACCCGTACCATTCCTATTATGGTATCTAAGCGCTAAAGTCTAGGGATTCTTTATTCAAACGTTGTTGTAAGCGCCCTTTATTAGAAGGACTTGACAAAATCCATGGATCATCCTGATGCTTCGTCACTTACGCAATCGTCATGGTATCACCTAAATCACGATCGCACACTAGTGCTGATCATATTGAAGAGTCCAATACTACCGCCAGTCTGTTTTTAGGTGGCGTGCGGAGGAACTGGATGGGCCCGCAGACTAACGTCCCAGAGGACTCCGCTACGCGAAATCCTCGCGTTGAGGCTGACCTTCAAGTGCCTCCCAGCTCACTTTCCCGTGAACCTGTCTTAATGTCCCCCGTCACGCCTGGTGAGACCCTTACTCAACCGCCCTCACGTGGTCCTGTTCATACGGCAAAAAAGCCCGATACGCGAGCAACAGCGCTTCCCTCACCCGCTCTCAGTACAAATTCTCACCCAAGTCCCGCGAGCGCCGATGCGATCGTTTCAAACAGACTCTCCACGTTGTCGTTGCCACCAGTCTCTACACAACTTACAGCACAGCGCGGCAATTATGAACGCATGGCGGTCCACCAGGCTCCTTTCAGCGGGCACGCCACGTCACAACGCGCGACCCAGTCCCCTCTAATGCGACCCAACCGGTCCACGAATTCGCCCTCGGTCACAGGCACACACACAGGCGCTAGCATACAAGAACAGACAGTCCCGGCGTCAAGACCTAGTCCGCAGCAGAATCAGCAGAATGGGGGAGCACGGGAACTGGCCATCCCCAATGAGACATGGGAACAATGGTCTGCTCAATTGGATGCCTTGGTAGAGGATTTGTCCTCAAAGGGAATACTAGCTCCTGCTCATATGAGAGAGAAGGGTGTTATGCGGCCTCGGATTGACCTATTGCGCCAGGCCATTAGTCGTAAGGACGCCTTTTATCTGGTGATACATCAATTATATTGCCGATATAGCATTGATCCAACTACACTGGGTCAAATTAGAGCCCCTGAATCGGGCATGCGATCACTCATGGATCTTCTGGAAGACAACAGAAAGATGCATGATGCTGCTATCATTGGGTTTGCCCATTTCCCGGCATCTCCACAGCAGTTGATGCAAACAAAGTGGTACCTACAGGTGCTGCCCGGTGTTCCTGTGTTTTTATCACGGCTTGCGGCTCAATGGCTGGGAATCTGGAAGCAGGCCCGTCATCCCCCGTTGGTGTCTTATCTTTGGCGCACGCTCGCTTGTCCATCTCCAATTTTGATGTCGGTGATGTTCATGTGTGTCGCACGGGGTATTCACCACGAGGACTATGTCAAGCCCCTTCTGGAGTTGTTTTGGAAAGATTTAAAAGTCTTCTACCAGTGTAGAGATTTTGAACTCCCCGAGACCACTCAGCAGGCTCACAGCTGGAGTATCACCCAAGAGTATCTCAAATTCCCACGTTTGCCCGAATATCCATCACACACACCATCTTCCTCCCACTCTGCACCACCTCCCAGACCTCAGAATCAAACCATGTCTCAAGCCGCCCTAGGTGTGCCGTCACCCCATCCCAGATTCTCGGTCAGTGGTGTCAGTCAACCTGCCACCAATTCACCTGCTCCGGTCCCACTTGGCGCACCTTTGCAGCCTTTCCCCTCAAATTCACCACAGGGGCAGGTTGTTGGTCCAGCTGCTGGGTCCTATGAATTTGGCGTAAACTCACAAAGGCAGAATACCACACAAACTCCTTATTACAACCCTATCTCACAGGGGCAAGCACAAGGACAGAGACAGGGACAGGGACAGGGACCGTGGAATCCGGTGAATTCACATATGATTCCACACATGAATGCACAGATGCAAATGCACATACAGACAGCGCTTGGACAGGTAGCACCTTCTCAGAGGCACCGATCAACACCAGGTTCACATGGTCAGCAAATGCAGCTTCGAACATCGATGCCTGCTACTTCAATAGCACCTGCTAACCCCTCCACCACCTCCCTCCAATCGAGTGATCTCACCTCTACACAGTCAGCGCAGTCACTCCATGCTCCATCGTCCATATCTACAACCCCGACTACAAGGAACCATATAGCCCAGCACCCAATGCCACCACAACGGCCTAATAATCATCACAACCGACAGCATTCGATGGCTGTGCAGTCATCTCCTTCGCCGATCACCCGCGTGCCTCCTCAGGGACAACCTCATAGACAGCATTTCCAGCCTCTACCTAACTCTACCTTCCTCCCGTTACCTGGCTACAGAGCACCTATGATGGCGAATCCAGATCCAACGCGTCTCGGCCTACATCTGATTGGTCTTCGCGATCCCATGAAGAGGCTGGTAAAACAGGGTCCAGACGGCAATGACATTGAGACTGATTTGTTGACTTATCTCGATACCTTCATTGTACACCCAACCGTCGTCGATGTTGACCAGCCGATCTACACGTGGAATTTCTCTTTCACGGATTATGAGCGCCAAAAGTTCCCACACATAGCTCACGGGAAAGAGACACAATATTCGGTTTGGACTTTTAGGCCCGGTTGCCGGACTATTCGCCTGCGATGCATTCGTCTTCCTGGTAATCCGGATACTGTGACGGAGCAGACCTGGTCCACCGCGGCCACTTTCTGGCCTAGTGTCTTTTACATTACTGTTAATGGCAAAGAGCTCTATGTGCGCCGAAAGGTTCACAACGGAAAGGATTTGCCTCTGGACATCACCGAGCACCTCAATGCAGGCGAAAATAACGTACGACTCGATATTATCTTAGGACAGGATGAGTGCAAAACCTCCAAATTCGTCTTTGGAGTGGAGGTCATGGAGGTTGGCGAGTTCGACCAGATACTCAGTCTAATCAAGTCCGTCCCAGCGGCCGAATCTCGTACAGCAATCAAGAAGCGTCTTTCCCCTATCACCGATGACGATGACCTGGCGGTTGTCACTGATAACCTCACAATCGACCTGGTGGACCCCTTCATGGCACGCATCTTCGATGTCCCCGTACGCTCACTTCACTGCAGCCACCATGAATGCTTCGATCGTGACACTTTCATAAAAACCAGGAATTCCACATCCGGCCAGACACCGATGGTCGATAACTGGCGCTGCCCGATTTGCAAGGGAGATGCACGCCCGCAGTTCTTGGTTGTCGATCAGTTCCTTGCTGAGATCCACGCCGAGCTCGCCCGTACAAACCGACTTAACGGGATCAGAGCAATCCAAATCAAAGTTGATGGAACTTGGACCTTCAAGTACGACACCGAGGAGATCTCGCCCGGGCCAGACAACCCCTTTTCTCCAAAGCGCAAGGCTGAAGACTCTTTGGGCCCTGTTGCCATGCGCTCCAGGCACGACATGTCTAATAGTCGTCACAGTCCGGCTGTTCGGACCCAAGAGCATACAGTCATTGAATTGGACTAATGAGTTCACCGGCGTTTCCAACAAAAGTTCTTCCCTTCTTCCCCCTTTCTAACGGCGCTGACCTTCCAATGTCTTTCGTTTATCTTTGCATGCATTTGAAAGGAAAGATACCCCTTATTGCGTGCTTTTCAAATGCATTTCTTTCATGTTATCTCATGATCTGTCATTGCCGGCGTTGGAGAGACTGGATTCTATGGCTGCGTCCGATTTTTCTCTTTATTTATCCCAAGGTATCACGGACAGGATGAAATCGTACCTAAAATGAAAAAGAAAGAAAAAACAAACAAACAAACAGATTTAACCAAAGGATCCAGTTGTAACAACCATCTTGCCTTACCTCTCCAGTAGTGTAGATTACGAACTTTCTTACATATCTTCCAGATAAATCAGTTTCTCTGGTATCGACATTAGATTATACAAAATATATTATATTGGGCATTTAGATAGTACACCAAGTGCCGGGAGTAAGGAAAGACTACTTTCTAACTCTCCTAACATGACTAACGAGGTTCTCAATGACACCCTCGAAAGCCTCTTTTTCGCCAACCAACCCATCCCGCCGCTTCAGCCAGTACTCCAATACCGAACTAGCGCGCTGGGCAACCTGGTTTAGTTCCTGAACATGCAGCTTCAACTCTGGATCCGTGAGACCATTCAGTGCAGCATCGGTAGTGGCACACAGCCGGCGGACCGCTGAGAGATCTATTTCCGGCGCCGGCGGTGCGCCGCGGCGAGGAGCAGACTTCTGGCGGGAGGGGGCTTGCCCCTTTTCGGCGTTGTTGTCGTTGCCTTCTTCTTCTTTTCGGACTTGACTGATGGAGCGAGCGCCGGGGCTCTTTGCGCCGGTCCCTTCAAGATCAATAGAAGGTAGAACGAGCTTTTTCTGTTTGGAGGCTGGAAGGATTTCATCCAGATCAACGGGCACGCCTAGGGATACGAGGAATAGTCGGCGGATGCGGGATTTCACCCAGTTTTGGGGCTGGAGAGGTGGTGGTGCCACGAGCTGGGACCATAGTGAGAGGGATCGCTCGGTGCTGAAGATTGCTGCAGAGTCTGGGATTGGCTCGACGGGAGTGAGAGAGCTTATGTCTTGGGATTCGGGGAAGAGGATGTTGAGGGTGTCTTGGAGGGAATCGAGGAGCTCGGAAGTAGATTTGAATGTGTCGAAGTCAATGAGAGGTGGGGGTGCGTGAGCTTGCTGAGGTGCCACAGTTTCGTTTGCGGGGGCTTCCTCTGCGCTGGGCTCTTGGAAGCCGTCGTCGAAATCCCCAAAATCATCATCCCCCATGTCTTCCTGCTCTTCTACAAATTCATCAAAATCATCACCCGCTTCTTGCTTTTCATATCCATGGTCGTCGTTCATGTCATCCTCCAATGAGAGGTTTTTGGTTTCCAAGTCTGTATCATCTATTGAGACATCCGGGACGGTTTCTACCGTATCGGGTAATGTGTCACTTGTTGAGCTCGTATGGGTTTGTGGCTGTGGCGGTAGGTCTTCATCGGCGGGTATTGTATCCACTCGTTCGAGCCGTGTCTCGGGGATTTCTGTTGAAGTCCCATCGATCTCAGGAGGTGTAGGGTCGAATGCCGGTGGCGTTGGACTGCCCTCGGAATCTGAAACCTTGGTCACCACGTCGGGCACAGCATCGGCGAGACGCTGCTCATGTGCCAATGTGCCAGGAACTTCGCCATGGCTAGGTTCGTCAGGGTCCACTTTCTCGACCACTGTGCGCGGAATCGGCGAGCCTTCAGGACTCAAGGTTTGGTCCTCTGACCTCGCGGGCGAACGGGCCTGGCTGTGTGAGCCTTCTGGAATAACTTCGATCTCGTCGGGAACTGCATCCTGTTCTCTCTTTTCAAATGCTGCTGTTCCCGGAATCTCGCCATGTTGGCTGCTGCTGTCAACCCTCTCAACTCGTGTTCGTGGGACAGGGGAAGTGCGACCGGATTGTGGGAGTGACTGGAGTTGGGGATTGCCTTCACTGGCGTCTGAGAAGTATTCATCGTCGCTTTCAGAAGCTGCTAAAGAGAATGTCAGTTTCAAAACAAATATTCAAGTATATCCATGGGTAATGTACTATCGCCAGCTCCTGGATCTTGCAATTCCGTAGTCCTACTGGGGGGCTCTAGATGCGAACTAGACAAATCGGACGGCCCCTCCGACATGATTGCAGCTTAAATTCAGGGTGTTGTAACATGAAAGAATGGGCACACAGAAGTGAACAACTCAAAAATGCAATGGGGCCGTGTGTAGTGTGCATTGACGACCTGTTGCCCTGCGATCGATGTGAGTCCAGAACACACCTGCCTTAGGCACCGGTTCTCAATAAGTTTGCCAATTTATTCAGGCACTACTGGTGCCTGGTATTCAAGGCATTAACATTTCAACGCGTGTTTGCCAAACTCCTTCCCAATTATTGTCTATTGTCTCGACTTTCTTGTCCTGCTTTCTCATTCCACCCTTAAGCTCTCTGTCTCGATCAATTTGATCAAGAGCTCCATTCTCTCATTGTTGGATCTTTTGATCCATTCTGCAGGCCCACCTCCCCTGCTCCGTGTGTCACTGGTGCTTTCTCTCCGTCCAGCTTTTTTCTCTCCCAATCCTCAAGCTCGATCACCAACACCATGGCGTTCTCTTTCGGAACCCCAGCCTCTACTGGCGCCTCTAGCGGAAGTCTTTTCGGCACAGCAGGCAATGCTTTCGGCGCCAACAAGGATAACAATGCGTCTAGTGGTGGCCTCTTCGGTAATGTTGGAGCTTCGGCCACCGGCAACAGCGCATCGCCGTCGCTGTTCGGAGGAAATGCCGCAAGTGGCCAAAGCACACCAACCTTCGGCAATGCAGGCGCTTCCAATGCGACAAACAGCGGTACCTCGGCCTTCAGCTTCGGCGGCAAGGCTCCATCCGGAACTGGCACGCAGCCCAACTCACTCTTCGGCGCCGCTGCCGCCAGCCAGACTCCCAACAAGTCTACAGAATCGACCACACCTGCCAGCAATCCGCTGTTCGGTGGCGCAGGCACAAAGAGTATGTTCGGCAACGCGGCCTCAACAGCCACCCCTGCTCCCGCGGGAGGCAATTTGTTCGGCAACAACTCCACCACCCCTGCTGGTCCCCCGCCTGCATCCAACCCACCCAGCAGCTTATTCGGGGCTGCGAAACCCGGAGCCTCGACTACCCCCACCGCAGCGCCGACATCTACCACGCCTGCTACCTCACAGGCGCAGCCATCTAACAATATGTTTGGAGGAGCAACCAAGCCGCTGTTTGGAGGTGGTGCAACCGCTGCTGCGCCCAGCGGCGGCCTATTCGGTGCAAACAAGCCAGCCGAACAAACCGCTCCTACGACTACTGCAGACACCCCTTCCAAGCCACTCTTCGGCACAGCTGCACCCGCGAGTGGTGCGCCAAGCTCACAGACATCGTCTCTGTTCAACAATACGGCTGCTCCCGCCGGCGACTCCGCTCCAAAGTCTGCATTCCCGGCCCTCGGCGCCCCTGCCTCTACCGCAAACACAACTCCCTCACTAGGGGCTCCCGCCACGTCGAGTGCTACCCCTCAAAAATCTCTTTTCCCCTCCACCGGAAGTGCCACTTCTACCGCTGCTCCCTCCACTACTCCGGCAACGGCTCCTCTTGGGGGAGGCCTGTTTGGGGCCTCAGCTCCCTCCACTACTCCAGGTACTTCGGCCACTGCCGCACCTGCTACTACTACATCTGCTGCACCTACGGGCGGCCTGTTCGGCCAAGCTGCTACTACTACGCCTTCGACTCAGCCAGCGACCTCTACCAGTTCAGCACCCCTTGGTGGTCAAACCACCGCTGCTTCTACTACAACCGCTGCCAGCGCTGCTGCAGCTGGGCCCGCCTCCCTTGGCCAGTCTACCACGGGGCCTGCACCTCCGGCCCAGTCACGTCTGAAGAACAAAACCATGGATGAGATCATTACCCGATGGGCCACAGATCTCGGCAAATATCAAAAGGACTTCCGCGAGCAGGCGGAGAAGGTTTCCGAGTGGGACCGTCTGCTGGTGGATAATGGTACTAAAGTCCAGAAGCTGTACGGTAGCACTGTTGATGCGGATCGAGCTACCCAGGAGGTTGAGCGTCAATTATCAGCAGTTGAAGGTCAACAGGATGAGCTTAGCTCATGGTTGGATCGATACGAGCGTGAAGTCGACGAAATGGTTACCAAGCAGGTGGGCCCTGGAGAGTCCCTTCAAGGACCTGACCAGGAGCGTGAGACAACGTAAGTACAACCTGCAACACAATATCTGATATTTATGGGTTTGCTAATATAGCCATTAGTTACAAACTGGCTGAAAAGCTCTCGGAACGCTTGGACGAAATGGGCAAGGATCTTACTAGCATGATTGAAGAAGTCAACGGTGCTTCATCTACATTGACCAAGACCAACAAAGCAGATGAGCCGGTACGTCACAACCTAGGACTGGTCCCTTTTTTGTGGGGATTCTTTTTGCTCACGCATTTTTACAGATCTCGCAGATTGTCCGCATTCTCAACGCACACCTGTCCCAGCTGCAGGTCATCGACCAAGGCACTTCGGACTTGCAGTCCAAGGTTGCCGCCGCCCAAAAAGCAGGCCAATCAATCTCTGCCCGTCTCGGATACGGCTATCCTAACAATGGCATGGGCAACAACAACACCGCTGATGATTTCTACCGCTCCTTCATGCAAGGGCGGTAAAGGGGGTGGATGGTTTCTAATGATTTGAATTCGGAGTTATCGGCTACTTGGCACCTCGATGTGCTTTGGGGGAATGTTCTGTTGTAGTCAGGGAATGCTAATAGTCGGTCACAATAAAATGCTTTCATACGCTTTGTGATTATCAACTTTGAACCTTTGTAGAATCCTATGCAATGGGATTGACAAATTCTTCTCGGATGTTTATTGTACATTATGTCCTTCTGGTCACTATTGCTAATGTTGATGCTCGGACTGAGCCTCCAGAAGATCCACCACTTTTCTCTGTCTTTCTTCGAATTTCTGTGCTCCTTCTGATTTAGCTGTTCCTTTTGCTGCTAGATGTACAGGCAATTGACCCTTGTGATTCTTGATCAGCCGGTCAGCGCCTGCATCTAGCAGTAAACTGACAAATTCCACGTCGTTTTTCTGCGCTGCCAGGTGCAATGGCGTATTGCCTTCTCCGTCTTTTGGTTGTACATTAGCACCTTTTTGCAACGAATACCTTGCGGACTCCAGAGCGCCAGAACATGCTAGTTTGTGCAGCGGCGTCACTCCCAGCCTAGTTTTAGGCTCTAGGTCGGCACCATACTGTAGGAATCTCTTGAAAAGCCCCAAATCTGCTTTCGACGTCGCACAATGCAATGGTGTGATGTTGGAGTCATTTCCCTGCCCTGGATTGGCCCCTCGATCCAGCAGAAGAGCGGTCACAGAGGCCGGCCCCAGGTCTCTGTTTACACTGCACTCCCAAAGTAACCCCCGCAGCAATGGTGTGCTCCCATTTGACGATCTTGCCTCTATATCTGCACCCTGATCCAGCAAGAACGTGGCGGTTTCTACCCGGCCAAACCAGCATGCCAGATGCAGTGGTGTCTCGCCATACTTGTCTCGCACCTCGAGATCGGCTCCTTTCTCCACCAACAACTTGGTGGTATTGATATCCATGGAGGATGCCAGATGCAGGAGCGACCTTCCATGTAGACTCCGCACATCCAAGTTGGCACCGCTTTCTATTAGACATCGGGCCACTCCCACGGAGCCAGACTCACACGCCACCTGCAGCGGAGTCTCTTTCACGTCATTCATAGATTCCAGGTTGGCACCTTTCTGAATAAGAACTCTCGCCACTTCCTCGCGGCTGTTGTGGCATTTTTCGGCCGCAAGATGCAATAGGCTGCCCTTGTAGCCCGTCAAATTCACATCAACGCCGTTATCGAGCAAAATGCTAACGACGGCTGCTTTGTTGCGGAGCACAGCCGATGTGATTGGGTCTTTGGTCCCCTGGCCGCCTTTGGCGTGCGGATTGGCTCCATGGGCCAACAGCAATAAAACAATATCTGCATGACCACATTGAGCGGATTGTATCAATAGCGTTTTTCTTGTCTTCTTATGCCTCGATTCGATATCTGCTCCTTGTCGGAGTGATTCTTCGGCTGTTCTTAGTTGTCCCTGGCCTGCTGCCCAATGGAGTGCGCTCCCTTGTTGATGTCGGATGTTGTAGGCATAGAGAAAAGGGTTTAGGAGGATATAGCAGCGTCGACTGGTCCTTGCAAATGAATTTATGTCCTTTTGGCAGTCTTGGGTCTCGGCTATGGCTAGGAGAAGCTCGTTTGGTAGGATAAGGAGAGCCATGGGTGGGTATTTGTCGGAGGTTTAGTCTAAGTAAGATGGAAGGAGCCTCAGCATACCTGGTCCTTGCCAAGTAACTCAACCCCCTGTGGGTGTTGTTGTATATGGGCGTCGAGTTAATTGGCAGGGCCGAGTAGCTACTCTGTAGATCATTCCGCTTTGTTTTAAGTGGAGAAGGTTGGCAATATTCATTACAAGACGATTTTCTCGAGTTAGTTGAGATCTTCTCATGGGAAAACACCATAAACATGTCTAGAAAAAAATAGGAAAATACCTTGCACTTGGACAAATACCGCAATAATATATAGGTAGTATGTTAAGGCTACAGAATAAACACTAGTTGATGGTGCCGAGCCTTCCTAAATATTTCCAAGAGAGCTACTAAGCACTATAAACAAGAGCAGAAAAACTCCATATGCTATGGCAGAGCGATGTCTTGTTTAGGAACAGGCGCTGAAAAAGACACGATCTCAAGGCAGCAGGTAGGCATGATAGCTCATTGGAGCGGAGATGGTATTATACACAGCAATTGGAGGAGTCCTTCGTATTAAACAAAAGACGGGAGCACGGATCCCATTAGCGGCTTAAGCCATCACTAAAAAGAAGCCAGTTAGCCATGCCATTTACACTCAACAGAAAAAAATGAAATAGATAGGAGAGTATTTCCAGACTTGCACTTACATGTGGGTCTCAAGCTCATCCAAGTGCTTGCGCTGCTCGCTAATCTTCTTCTTGAGCTGAGCAAGCCTGTCAAACCAATTAGCTCCCCGCTGTAGCCTGATTGTTCTCGGCATTGCAAAACTTACTTCTCAAGCTCCTTCTCACGGATGTAAAGGCTTTCTTGGGCGGCTTCGCGCTTGGTGAATGCGTCACTAGTAGAGGGACAAACGTTAGTGATCATATGGCTATGATGTCATCTTACTGCGGCCAGGCAGACATAGGGCTGTCTACTCGTTGTAATCGAACTTGGGAGTGTAAGTTTCGCAGTCAACTTGCATCTGACTTACCCAGAAGAGGCACCACCACCAGAGCGGGGAGCACCGGTGTCACCTTCGCCCATACGAGGGACAGCTACCGAGAAGGAGCGGGTGAAGACGGCCCGGTTAGCAGTAGCAGCGGGACGGACAAATTGACAAAGCATGATGATTTTGATGATAGAGGAGTCAAAAATGAGATTTGTGAAATGGATTCAGGATGAAGTTGACAATTGACAACGTAAGAGAACTCCAGGGCCAAAGCAAGGCAAGCTTATAGCAAATGACGTTACATGCCAAGAAGCATCATGTGACGGTATTCGGAAGGAGCAAGCTTATGTCAGAGTGTAGGTCATGTGAACAAAAAATTTCTGATAAGTTGCGGCCTTCTCATTCGACTTTCCACTTGGGTGTATACGATATGGTACTTCAACTACATTGACCACAGGGATCACAGGGATGGTCACATCATTGATCTATTGCAGCTGACACTTTTCTCTCTCTCTCTCGTATTTCTTACCTTTTTACGATACGGATAGCCTGATAGTAGAACCCTACCATATGTCGTATACCAATTCGTTCTAGACTGTTTCGAACGTATCCTGTCTGCCTTTTGTGATCTCGAATGAGGCGCAAGTAAGGAACCCCCCGGGCCATTGGCGGATGCGGAATGGGGGATGACGCTGTGGGAGGCCCACCGAACCACACAGAAGCGACGAGAGACGATTTGTGTATAGTATATGGCAAAAAGTAATATGTTGGGGGATTTTATAGGCATATAAAAAAATTTATTATATTAAAAAAGAAGAACAAGTTCAAGTGAGCTCAAGTACTCTTGTTTTTGGATATTTCACAAAAAAACACAAAAGCCTGAAGTGGGTTGTTCAGGTAAATCCCAACAACACCGCCTTCTGCCCCCCTCCTTTCCTCCTACCTCCTCTCTCTCAACTCCCTACTCTTTCACTTCCATCTTTCATCCATCTCGCTATTCCTTAATCTCCTTCCTTTCCTCTTTTCATAAACCAGGTCAGTGTCTTCCTGTTGTTTTCCGAGTTGAATTTGCCCTCTGCTCGCCCCATTTCTATGCCCATTCCCCGTCATCAACGCAAAACCCACACATACCAACATTCATGGTGGAAAGAGACCATCTGAAAACTACAATCCCCTCCCCAAAATTCAAACCATGGAAATCGCGCCACAATTTGCGGTGGAAACCAAATGTTCTCGTCTCCTTGTTTGCCCGTTAAACCGTTGCCGCGACCGCTTTCCTGCGATACCAACGACATACGGGAAGACCAAGGGCCCTGTAACCGCCACGATCGTCATGATCGACCAAATCTTCTAGGGTCTTTAGTCTTTGGTCCAAATATCTTGACTCAGAGACCTTCTGTGTCATACTCTGGAAAATCAACTGGATCCTTCCCTGTATATTTGAAGGGGGGTGGTCGAGGATCGATATCTACCCCTCGCCATCGCCTACTTGCACTGATCCGATGGCGTGATTTTCAGCCCTCATCTCAAACACTATCAATCCGAGAATGAAAACTCATCTGAGGGAAGAAAAAAAAAATTTGGCTAACATAGTTCGGACTGTAGAAAACACACATTCACCATGGGTCACGAAGACGCTGTTTACCTCGCCAAGCTCGCTGAGCAGGCCGAGCGCTATGAAGGTTGGTTTCTCTTAAATCTAGATCGTTTAGTTGCACAGATCTCCTAACAATGCGACACAGAGATGGTTGAGAACATGAAGGTCGTCGCCTCGGCTGATGTTGAGCTCACCGTTGAGGAGCGCAATCTCCTGTCTGTCGCCTATAAGAACGTCATTGGTGCCCGCCGTGCCTCGTGGAGAATCGTCACCTCTATTGAGCAGAAGGAGGAGTCCAAGGGCAACGAGTCCCAGGTCACTCTCATCAAGGAGTACCGCCAAAAGATCGAGGCCGAGCTTGCCAAGATCTGCGACGATATCCTCGAGGTTCTGGACGAGCACCTCATCAAGTCCGCCCAGAGCGGCGAGTCCAAGGTCTTCTACCACAAGATGAAGGGTGACTACCACCGCTACCTCGCCGAGTTCGCCATTGGCGACCGCCGCAAGGGTGCTGCCGACTACTCTCTGGAGGCCTACAAGGCTGCCACCGAGATCGCCTCCACTGACCTTGCCCCTACCCACCCCATTCGTCTCGGACTCGCCCTCAACTTCTCAGTCTTCTACTACGAAATCCTGAACTCCCCTGACCAGGCTTGCCACCTCGCCAAGCTTGCCTTTGATGATGCTATTGCTGGTATGTTAAAATGCATATTTTTCTACGTGCATGGGCCAAGGCTAATATTTTGTCTACAGAGCTCGACACCCTGAGCGAGGAGAGCTACAAGGACTCTACTCTCATCATGCAGCTCCTCCGTGACAACCTCGTAAGTGTTTAAAGTATCTAGTGATTCGATTTGTTCATATACTGACCCGCATTTCCCACCCAGACCCTCTGGACCTCGTCCGAGGCTGAGCCCACTTCCGAGGCTGCCCCTGCTGAGAAGAAGGAGGAGGCCCCGGCCGCTGAGGCCGAGAAGCCCGCCGCCGAGTAAATGATTAACATCTAAAAAGACCTTGTTGATGGACACGCGTCCTCGGGACGGATGGAACAACCGAGAGAAAGAGAGCGCGCGGCGGGTCTTTTAGTGCAAGGACATAGATTGGATACGAAGGAGGAAAGGACGATGAGGTGCATTGGCCCGATTGTCGGTCTATAGTATCGCAGAGACTCGCAAGGGTTTGGTGTGAGAAATACTGCGACCTTTGGGTGTCGATGCTCTGCCATTTTTGCCTTGAATCTTTTCTTCTTGCCTACTTGCCTTCTGCTTTGGCCCGGCGCTCGTTCTCTGCCCTGGGGGATATTCCATCCTGTCTCCTCTTTTCGTTTTTTTCATTCTCCTTGTTATTTTGTCTACTTTGCCTCTTAACTACCCAAAGAGTCCCCTTGCGCGCACTCTCCCAGCCCAACACATACACAGAATTTTCTCAAATCAGTTCCTTATCAGGACTTCAACAAGGGTATCCCTGCTGATCCCTAACCTGGCTTTTCACCTTTCCTATTTATCACTCCCCCGTATATGTGCCATGTGGCGTTCTGGTTCTCACTAGATGTGGTTGCGAAGATAATCTCTCGTACACTGTTCCGGTAATTCTTTACGAATCATTGTAGCTGAAGCATAAATGACTATATGTGTATCAGTCTACGTCTATTGCCCTGGATGCCGCAGAGTACATACCACGCTGTCTTATCCAATTAAACCAGGCCTGCCAGATAAGCGAAGATCCTGTCTCTGGGTCAACGCACTCCCTTGCCCACAATATCTTGCCCGTTAGCAGCACAGCCACCGATGAGCATATCAAGGACACCAATCTAATCATTTACTATGAACAACCAGCAATATATAAATATAAATATCATATATTGACCTAGGCGAGGTCTGGAATACAGATCCATACCCAATTAGCTCCAAGTGTGAGAGAGTATGTACCATATAATTCAATATGTACAGCAAGGTCTGTATAAGATATAGACAACCCCACAGAATTGACAGACTAGGTATGTAAACCAAAAGGAATACCAGACCGTCAATACAAACTAGTCTTGTTTCGGAGAATGGAAATCGGTACTATATATTTGACTAGGGGGTGCGGAGATGCATACGCCCGCGTACTGCAGACGAAGCCGCAATGATATCAGTGGCTGTATTAGCTGAACACTATCGAGCTTATGTGCGCCTGCCGGTGTCACATCATGATTGATCGTCGCTTCTTCACTTGATACGCATACTATACTGTTCGTTCATTTGTTCCTTGTGATGACTCAATAGTTAAGTTGGATGGAGTTTTGACGAGTATCACTCTTGGATCGCATCGGATTATCTATCTCCTGGTATAGCAAGCTTCGAAATTGTATCCGTTTTATACAAATCTACAAAAGACATGCTCAATTGAAATAGTTTCCATTGCTATGGTCGAAACCACAATGCCACCAGCCACGCGGGCTCGATAAAAAGGGGTATGAGGACAATAAAGGGAAAATGGACGACCTGAGACATGCACGCTCCTGGGTATGTCAAGTGCAAGAAGCAAGAAGCAGAAATAGAGCCACAATGATAACAATGATGAAAAGCGGCACCTTTTGTCTCCCCATGTAGAGACAAGAGTCAGTCCAGTGGAGACAGCAGAAGAAAATAGAGAAAAAAAAAACAAGTCGATATGCAGATGTACAGAGAGCCTCCCGAATATCGAGAAGGCATGTGAGGAAAGAGATAAATGGACTGCTCCAAAAGACCTCTTAGATGCTTCCACTTCCCACGCCGTTCTGTTGTGGCGATGACCGTCACCATGCAATGCCCATGACGAAGAAACATTTCAATGCTCCAGCAAGAGCCATTCAATCAAATCGAGTCTAGTCCCAGTCCCCGAAACGCCCAAGGTGCTATGCATCGAAAGACAACAAAAAAAAAAGGAAAAAAAGTACAAGTGAAACGTGTTCACAGAGCCACCACAATAATAATAAAAAAACGCCAAAAATGAAACGAGTGAGGAATAAAGAGCAAAAAAAAGAGCCAATAATATCGACAGGGTTGAAGAGAGGCAGAGCGGAACACTGCGTTAGATAGAAAGGTTGCACACCGTCTTTGAGGATGATGTCACGAAGACCGGAAATTCAAATGCCAAGAAGTCAGGTGGCCACTGTGCAAGCAGGCATGCAATGATGTCACGAACAATTGAAGTTCCCCCTTGAGTAAATGACTCGGATTCAGCTCACCCCTCGGTTTAGCAGTCGATTCCAGTTTAAACAGGGGGACTGCGGAGATGATGACTCTGTGGCGTTTACACCGAGATGTGGTGTGTTCCAGGGTAGCCACTCGAACCAGTCGGGTGGCAGATATGATGTGTGCGAAAATGGCAACCGTAAGATTGCCCCGGGGTAAATGCTGACCCCATTTGCGGAAAAAGAAACGGAATTCCCAACCCTGCTGTTTTATGAGACCGTGACATGCTGACATTCGGCATGTAACTCATTGAGCGACCGCTTGAATGTGCGGTGAGAAGAGAAACCCGCTGACCAGGGATTTCGTCGTAATGAAGTGAAAATAGTTTGAATCTCGGCAAAACCGGCGACCGTATGCAACGCATGGAAACCCCCCTGCCGTAAAACAACAGGCGATCCCTCCCAATTGACATTCACGGGATGAGGTATCCGGCCACCTTGCGACATCTGTTCGGAAAGCCAGTTTATTTTTGAGCTTTGCGTGCTTTCGTACTGCGAGTCATTTCACTCTTGGTCATGTTGCGAGTGAGACCACCGATGTAGTCCTGTAAGATTTTGTTCTCGTTTTCCAACTTGTCATGGTCTGATTTGACTGCATCGATACGTTCGGCAAGAGCCTGAAGGGACGATTGGAGAGCCTTGGCTTGTCTATTTTGTTTTAGTTCACTTGGTTAGCTACTGATATCTTCGAATTCGTGTAATTCAGTATGAAAACGCTTTAAGACGCCTTTTTAAACTCACTCCTGCAGGGTTTGCCGGGCCTCCTTGCCCAAACGCTCCAGATCGGCGGAATTTCTCCGTGGGCTCATTGCGCGGGCGTCATCTGGGGGAAACTCTTCCTCCTCGATCTCAATTTCGGGGTGGTCCCGAGGGACAAGGATTGAAGCACTGGGTTTGCGGCTCGCCATTCGCGGACGTTCTGATCGGCCTCGACGCTCGTTTTCTGCGTCGGATATAGAAGAAGATGATGAGAGGGATGACATATGCATGCGGCCACCGTCGTTTGGTTGCGGCAGAGTATCAACAGGGGAGGCTTCAGTCATTTCTGTATCTGATGCCATAAGGGTTACTGCTCGCGACACACAGAATCGAAAGGAGGTCCAGGATGGCGGTATGATCAAGCTCCCACTATTGGGGGTTGCGGATTAAAAAGAGACCGGAGGGGAAAAAAAAGGCGGCGGCTGATGAACGACCGCGGTCTACCCCTAGCGATGTACCCCAGATGAGAAATCTGTGTTACGCTTGAGGTAGCTACCGGGTCGGTAAAAAGTCGAGTAGGAGAGGGGGATTGTGTAATTTTCAAGACGACCGTGGCCGACTCTGACTAGGCGAGTAATTTCGAAAGGCGTGGGTTGAGATGAATGCAATTCGAGATTGGTGGGAAGAGAGGAGGGAAACGTAACCGGAGTAGGTTCAAAGGGAAGGTCTGTTGGGGGAAATTTTTTCTTCTTCTCTCTTTCCGGAAAGAGAGGCTGGCCACAAGAGAGGCGGGATCGAGGCTAGAGATGATATAGGAATAGGTTCAAAGAGAAGAGACAGAAGATAGAACGAAGAGAGAAGGGGAGTCAGAAAACCGAAAAGAGCTTTGGGGGAAAAGGAAGAGAGTTTCGGTATCGGCGTTACAGCAGAGTACTTGAAAGTGACCTGAATTGTGGTACGACGGGTGTGGTAACCAGGGGTACCTATGGAGTCAACAGTATAATTGTCTATCTTAGCACCTTTTCAGTAGGTGGAGGACCCATGTCCCTTGGATCATCCCTCCGAAGAGGGTTCCTTTCCTTATTTTCCTTATTTTCCTTCTATTTCCCTCTCTATGTTGTATTTTTTCCTCTATAAGCTCTGTATTACTTTCTTTTTTACCTATGTAATGAATTAATATATATTACCAATGTCCTAGATAGTGTATGGCACACTATTAAAAAAGTAAGCTAGTTAGACAATATACCATATAAAATTTCAAATAATTATACAATAATAAAATAAAATAAAATAGACCCGGTGAGGATACAGAAAAAGGAAAAAAGAGGGGATTTTCTAGAAATGAGAGGCGTTCAGGAACTAACGGGTGGCTCCTTAGATTCCCCTTTCCACACACACCTTCCCGGTAAGTACCCGGTACACCACAGTTCCATATTTACACTATGTTCCGTTTGAGTACTTGGTACCTCATAGGGCATGCATTTGCTCTCCGGTTCCGCTCTTCTGCCTCCACCGCTAGTGTGGCATTGATTTGACACGTATTGTGAAATTGAATACCTTTCTAAGTCGATTCTGTATATTGTACGAAGTATGTATGCCTTCTTTTATTTTAGGCTCCCCGGGGCCGGGAACTTGTATCCTCTATTTCCAAATGTCCCGTCATAACCTGGGGGTAATAATAGAAATTCAAATTCGATATTATATTGTCTACTTATAGAGTATTTATAATGTATTATACAATATACAATATTGCACATGTGGTCATACCCCCGTCCTTCAGGGGAGGGGGGGCATGCAATGTCGATCGAGCCTCAAGAGTCAAATGACGCCATGGATATCATTGGCCCCAACAACGTAATTTCTCATATACGTTGTCATAAAGTACACATATTATAGGATGAACGGTACCTCGTATACTACCCTTTTTGCGATGTATAATCATTCTACATCTCGGTACGGTGACCATGTTTCCAAGGGGTAGATACAAGCCGCCCTTGGGTAAGATCGGCCGAGGGACAAAGGAGTACTCCGTACCAATACCCCGTATAGGTCCTGAGGGCTCAAACAAAAATATCCTAATATGTAAATTGTCCATTTGCCAATATAAAATTATATAAAATGTACATAAAATGAATAGTGTATTGGAAGGCAGGAAAACAGATCCGACAATAAATCCCCGTTCACCCCTCGTTAGCCGCCTCCACCGCCACCAAAAAAAAAAAAAAAAAAAAGCCCCCGAATAAAAAAAAATGACGACCAAATATAATCGGAGAAACTAACTGACTAACTTGCCTCACAGGAAAGTTCAGTGGCACTGCATTTTTTTTTTTTTTTTGGCTCCGCACCTCAGGCCTGTCGTAATATCCCGCGACCACTCACCATCTCCCGTCCTTAGCCCACTCCCTCACAACCAATGTGCGCCCAACGCTTGGGCTTCAGACGATCAGTCATTACCATGGATTTTGACATACTTCCTTACTATTCGATGGACCGCTAGAAAGGAGGTGAAACTGACCATCATAAGTGCCGATCTTAAAATGGTTTCCAACATACAGTGAATCTCCTACAAACTTTGTATGGTC